TAGTTGGGTGGCAGAATTTTTTAAATTTTGTATTATAAATTTGTTATGATGTATATTTATAAATTAATTATATAAATTTATATATTATATTAAATATAATTTTTATTACACATTTTCAAATTTAATATTATAAATTTATATATTATATTAAAATTTTTAATTTGTTATAATGTATATTATAAGAATCTCATTTATTATAATTATAATGAAATATAAAAATTAATTATAGTTAATTTATTAGATATTCATAAATATAATATAATTAACTAAATATTTTATAAATTATAATTATATTATAATATATTCATCATTTCAATTTAATTTAATTTAATTATATTGAAAGATAATTTATTAAAATTATATAATTTAAATTCTTAGAATCATATTATTTGATGTTAAATTCACGTAATTATCCTATTAATGTTATAAATTTTTAATAATATTAGTATTTATTACATCATCCGGTTCGACCCCGGGTCGACCGGGCGGACCCGGCGAACCCTTAACCTCTCCCCGGTCGAACCGGTCGAACCTTGAACCTCTCCTTCTTCCGGTTCGTTGTCCGGTCCGGTTTTCACAACCTTGGTAAGCATTATTGAATTGGTTTCATGTATATTTAATTAATATATCAAATGTGATTTTTGTCTTCCATGTGATTAAATTTACTTGAATCAATTGAAAATTTTGTGAGTGTTTAATTCCATAATCTCTCTGTTAGAGAGATTTATAATTAAAAGAAAGAATAGCTAAAATTGGATTCACTTGCTCAAAAGAAAATGTGTTAGATTAAGAGAAATTTGAAGTAGGATTTTCATGCATTACTCTCAAGCCATGTTCACTACAACATACATTTCTTTGATTAATATAAGTTTAGAAATCTATTTAAATAAACTAATTAGAGTGTTTTATTTTTAATAATCAACATTTGCTTGATTTTGTTTAAATCTTTTTAATAAAATCTTAAGATTTTTATCAGTGACCATGATTTTTCTGGTCAGAGTTTATTTTAGTGGAACATCAAGCCCATTTTAGTATTAATATATACCAAAAGATTAGATGAATAACAATGATTTGCTTTAGGCAGTGGTACAAATGCCTTTTTAATATGGTATGGGCTTTAGAAAAAAAATATAATATGTTTTAAAAGATTTTAAAGGAATTCATGGATTTTAATATAGATTAAAAAGTAATTAAGAGTGAGGTGTTTTGAACATGGAGAAGACAATCAAAACCATCACATAAAATAACGATATCAAGTGAATGGTTGTTTATTGTAGGAATAATGTTGTTGACAAAGAAGCTACTTAGTATGTGACAGCAAGATTGATGCACTTTGAATGAGTTCCATGGAGCTTAAGGTTGTGTGGTAATGTACTCTTTTAGGATTAAGGATAGGCTTTCTGTTTTGATTTTGCTGGCCAACTTTGTCCTCTATATGCTTTTACATGCTGTAAATGTGTCTGTGCGGTGAATTGACTTGATTGCAGCTTATGTAGAAGTAAACAATACAAGTTGTTTCACCATCTAACCAGTATTACCTATTTAACAAGATCAATGGTCATGGCTGTCAAACATGGCACTCAGAAAAATCATTGTGAACCAATATAGTACTTTACGCGTTGAATGTATTAAAAATGGTTCACAGTAATGAAAAAACCTACAAATTGAATTTTGGATGGAGTTTGTAGTATTTTGCATAAATTCCCAGCAGTTAATATATTCTAGATGATAGTAACCAATGTCGGTAAAAGTCATTGTTCATGCCATCTAAACTTTGATTTATGTTTGAACTTGATGTGAAACCAACTTTGTTTCGGGTTGCATTTGAAACCAGACACATTAAATTTTAATTGAATTGTTTTATGATAAAAGTTAAAGATTCTAATTGTAGATTTTATTATGCTAGGTTTGGCTTAGGTTTATGCTTCTTTGTTGCTTGAGAAGTTTAAAAGCATTAAAAAGGGCGTTTGGATGCATTGTTCCTTCCGCGTCCTACATCCTCATCCTTAGGCGCAACCCACTACTAATCAAGCTCCTTGACCTTACTGGCAACCACTGAACCTCCATCGCACTCTCATTGACTCCATCCCTAGTGTCGTTTGCATGACATGGCATGGCATGGCATCTGGTCCTAAAATGGCATGCGCTATTTGCATATTCGCAGGCATTGAATGACACATTATTCTTATAGTGCACGCTAATTGATTAGGGCTTGAAATTAATATTAATATTATCCATATATTTTTAATTAATTTAATTTATTTTAATTAAGACTTCAAAATCATTAAAACAATTATTTTAATTTTTGAATATACTAGGATGAGCACAAAGCTCTTGACCTCCTTTTTGGCGCTATCATGGTTTGATTGAACGATTTCACTAATTTACTTGCAAACTCATATGGAATTTTAGTTTTCTTATTTCCTTTTTTGTTCATAAAATAATGGCTATGGAATTTAATATTGTTTTCTCTAACTAGGATCAAGTACTATATAAATTATTAGGTATCAAATTTTCTAATGATTTTGAGGTGTTAAATTATTAGAAGTGGTAAATGATTTGAAGAATAAATAATGTTGCATTATGCTGAGCATGTGCTTATCAAATTTTCTAATGACTTTGAAGTGTGGCTTCTAAAAGTTCACTAACTTTTTCTTATTTATGTTGTCAAAATTTTTTCTTATTTATGTCGTCACCTTTGTTAATTGGTTGAGTCGTTTAACACCTAAGCTGTACTTTGGTTGTTTTATTATCATAATGGTTTGACTTTCAATATATTAGTTTTTTTTATTTAATTGCATATATATATATATATATATATATATAATTTTTTGCATCATGTTTAAAATAGTGCACGTAGTGCTAGGGGCTCTGTGCTATGGCTTTGCAGGGATCTTTGCGCTATGGTGTGCCATACGTCATTGACAAGTACACTCTAACCACTTTACGCACTCCTACTAAATGTGAAGAGCACACACTTCCTTGATTGATTGCAATGTAAGGGCATACATCATTTAGATTTATTATTATTATTTTAAAGATGATGCTCTTTGCTTCTTTGTTTTATAACCTCCTTTGTGTGCCTCATAGTAACCCGGCAATTCTAGCATTTCGTTTTGTCATTGTTGATTCTACCTTTAGGATGAAAATTTGTTAAATTGTTATATTTTTTAAGATTTTTTCATTGGCATTTTAGTCTTTTGTGCTAAATCAATAGTACCACTTCAATTTAATCATATAGTTAAATACATTTTTGAGTTCTGAACATCACACAGATGATAGTTTATACAAACAACATCAGTTTTTGATATGCCTCATTGCCATTGATGTGCTTATCTCAATACTCAAATTAAGCTGCAAGTCAAATTTTTTCCAGAATATTAATTATTTTTAATAGTTAGAGTTGTCTCTCTTATTATATGCAACACTTAATATGATTGTTTTGCTCTCCTCCTAGATGACTCTTTAATTGGTGTCACATGCTATTTGTCTGTCTCCTAAGTGATTGTTTTAAAATTGTTTATCTTGCGAGTGTTGGCAGACATGGATGGTGGGTCTAGCAGAGGCGGCAATAGCGCTGATGTTATATTACCCAACTATAAGCTTGGGAAGACTTTGGGAATTGGTTCATTTGGCAAAGTAAAAATTGCAGAACATGCGTTAACTGGTCACAAGGTAGCTATAAAGATTCTCAATCGCAGAAAAATAAAGAACATGGAAATGGAAGAAAAAGGTATAACTTGATTAAGTTGTCTGCTATACATATTTGACATGAAAGCTGTTTTTTTTTTTTCTTCTTTTTTCTTTTCCAAGTACATTGTGTGGACCGTCCCCTTTCCACTAAATAATATAGCAACTGATGTAAATCTTGGTACAAGTTGGCCACCCATTCGCCTAAATCAGCTCTGAGCTGTTGAATAATTGATATCAGCACTTTATTTAAGCTTTATTGTAGTTTACAGAATGTTTGTAAGAGCAGTTTCATTAACATTTATGTCTTTAGTTTTGCTTCTCAATCAATCTTCTGATATGGGTCATTTATTAGCTGAAATTATCTTTTTTAATGGTTTTGTTTTTTTCATTTATGCATATACCGGGTTCCTCTGCATTTGTGCTTGAATGCTGGATTCCAAATTGCATCTTCTCTCTTTTTATGTGTACATGTACCACATGCATGCTATAGATTGGCATTCGAACATATTTGAGGGTCCTTTCATTGATTATGAAAAAGAAAAAGAGCATTCTGATTCTTAGAATATTTTTATAGATTCTAAATGATTGTCGCTGACTACTGAATATATGGAAATATGAAGGTATAGAAATTATTAAAAAAAGATCCATTATATTTGGATTTTACTTTAGATTTCATTGATTAGATGGCACAAAAGTTACATAACCGCCATAATGCTTACTGGGCAGAGTTTTTTTTTTGTGTGTGCAAAGTTATGTTTAGATTAATCTTTTCTTATAGTCTAAAGTGGATTATGTTGAGCTTCCTTTTTCCTGCAAATTTTAAACTTGCTGCATGTATGAATTCTCTTTTGACGTGCTTGTAGTTTTTGCTGCTTTTCTATATTACAATACTTGAAACTTTGCTATTCTTAACTTTTTCCTAGTGTATTGCAGTTAGAAGAGAAATAAAAATATTGAGATTGTTCATGCATCCTCACATTATACGCCTTTATGAGGTTATAGAGACGCATACAGATATTTATGTGGTCATGGAATATGTCAAATCTGGTGAACTTTTTGATTATATTGTTGAGAAGGGCAGATTGCAAGAGGATGAAGCTAGACGATTTTTCCAGCAGGTGAGCATATTGTTATTCTTATTTACCTCGCTGAATTAATCCAAGCCCATGTTAAGTATAGCTTCATTATATGTTCGGATGTTCCCATTTCTTGTAGAAAGTTTTCTGAGATGAATTTTCTTTTTTTTTGCTTGCAAGACTCCTGTAGCACTGTTGAAGATGTACTTGATATGTTAATGTATTTTTGGTGATACCGTATAGGCTTATTTATTATCATTATCTTTATGAGATAATTTGCTAGGGCATTCCCTGGAAGCGACGCACTATATGGCCTGAATACAGTAAAAAGTCTTCAAGGGTCGCTACATCAGCGCTCGGATGCAGTGTTAAATAGGCAAGGGTTTTCACATCATGGACGGATGTGGGCAAAGAAGGTAGTCCATGAAACTAAATTTAAGTTAGGACCGTGGCATGTAGGTTCCTTTATAGGCAAATTAATAAAATTAATTGATATTATGATTCATACAAAGATAAATATTCTATGCATTCAGGAAACTAAATGGGTGGGAGAGAAGGCTAAGGAGATTGATAGTTTAAGGTTTAAACTTTTGTATTATGGTAGGAGTCGTACTAGAAATGGTGTAGATGTTATTATAGATAAGAGTTTGAAAGATAATGTTGTAAAAATTGATAGAATTGGAGATAAAATTATAGCTTTGAAGATTATTATCTATGATAAGATTATTAATATTATAAGTGCTTATATTCCTCAAGTAGGTTTGGATATATGTTCAAAATTAAAATTTTGGAATGACTTAGAAGAATTAATACAAAAGATACCTCTTGAAGAAAGTGTTTTTATTGGGAGAGATTTAATAGATATGTTGGTAGAGCGGTAGATGATTTTAAAAGCATTAATGTTGGCTATGGGTTTGAAGCAACTAATGAAGGTGGTAAGATTATATTAAATTTTGCTCTAGCTTATGATTTTTTTATTTCTAATATCTTAGTTTAAAAAGAGATGAGCATCTTATCACTTATAAAAATGGATATAGTAAAACTCAAATTAATTATTTTCTTGTAAAAAAATTGATCTTTTAGATTGCAGAGATCGTAAAGTTATTAAGAGTGATTGTCTGTGTATCTAATATCGCTTATTAGTTTTGGACTTTAAGTTGAAGGGGCAGAGTATGAAAAATATATTATATTGTTGTTCTAGGATTAGATGGTGACATTTAAAAAACTCTTAACAAAAATATCTTTAAAATTTTGTTGGTGCATGAAAAAGCTAATGTTATGTGAGAAATAATAGTTTGTAATATTAAGAATGTTTCATAGGATGTGCTTGAAGTAGCTAAAGAAAAAGCTTATAATAGTAAAAATAGTTTGTAGTGGAATCAAAATGTGCAACAAAAGATAAAAAATAAAAAGCTTTGTTATAAAAATTGAAATAGAGGTAAAAATTATAAAAATTGGGAAAGATATAAAGTTGCACTTAAGGAGTCTAAGAAAGCATTCTGCGCTGCAAAGACTAGCTTTTAATGATTTATATAATAAATTAGATACTAAAAAGAGAAAAATATATATGTAGAAGCTAGTCAAACAAAGAGATAGGAGTAATAAGGATTTAGTTCAAGTGAAGTGCATTAAGGATGAAGATAAAAAAGTATTTTTTTAAAAGCGGATATTCAACAAAGGTGGATGAGATATTTTGTTAAGCTTTTTAATGAAGATTGTGAAAATAAGATTGACTTTAGTTAACTTAACACTCTAAATGAAAATAGAGATTTTTATTTTTATTGACGGATTACTAAAACTGAAGTTAGAGAGGCTTTAAAAAAAATGAAGTGTGGCAAAACTGTTAAACCTCATGATATTACAATAGAGTTATGGAGCATAGTTTAGGATGTGATACTAATGTTTCTCAAAATCAATTTTGATTCTTGCCGGGTAGGTCTACTATGGAAATCATACATTTATTGGGAGGTTTTATGGATAAGTATAGAGAGAAAAAGGAAGATCTTCATATGATATTTATTGATTTAGAGAAAGCATATGATAAAGTTCCAAGATAAGTGCTATGGAGAGTTCTAAAAAAGAAAGGGATTAATGATACTTATATTCAAGTCAGTAGGGATATGTATGCTGGAGCTGTTACTTGTGTTCAAACACAAGGTGGTTTGACCAAGTATTTTCTAATTTTAGCTGGATTATATCAAGAATCAGCCTTAAGCCCATATCTTTTTGCTTTAGTCATGGATGTTCTTACTAGAGATTTGTAAGAGGATGTTCCCTAATGTATGCTTTTTGCTGACGATATTCTTCTTGTTGATAAGACTAAAAGGGGAGTTGGAAGGTAAACTTGAATTATGGAGGTCAACCTTAGAGTCTAAAGGTTTTTGTTTGAGTAGATCTAAATTGAATACATTGAGTGTAATTTTAGTAGTAATAGAACTAGTGGGAGGTTTGTGACTTTGTGTGATCAAGTCATTAATAAGAGTACACATTTTAGATATCTTAGGTCTGTTATTCATAGTGATGGTGAAATAGATGTGGATATTATTATTATAATTCAAGTTGGATGGATTTAGCGGAGGAATGCATCGGGCTTGTTGTGTGATAGAAAAGTACCACTCAAACTTAAGGGAAAATTCTATAAGATGGTGGTTAGACCTACAATGCTTTATGGCGTAAAATATTGGTCATTAAAAGAGAAGCATAATATTAAGTTAAGTGTTGCAGAGATGAGGATGCTCAGGTGGATGAGTGGCTTTATTCTTAGAGACAGGATACAAAATGAGCATATACGTGAAAAGTTTGGAGTAGCTTAGTAGCAGATAAGATTAGAGAGAGCCGCCTTAGATGGTTTGGTCACATAAAATGGTGGCCTTCCAATGACCCGGTTAGGAGAGTAGATGTATTAGATTTAGCATATATTAAGAAAGGTAGATGTAGACCTAAAAATACTTGATTAGAAAATATTAGAAATAACCTTTCTTTATTAGATTTAAATGAGAATTTGACTCTGAACAGGACACAATGGAGAAAATGATTGATATAGCCGACCCACATATTGGGATAAAGGCTTGATGTTTTTGTTGTTATTTAGATAATTTGCTAGTGGATTTGCATATCTTCCTGTCATCATCATTTGATGCAACTCATTTGAGGAATTTCTTTATGTTGCAATGATAATCTCTACTTGTCACTTTATTTAAGATGCCATCCTTTGATAGTTAGTACCTGTTAGATTATTTCAGGAAAAATAGTTTCTTTTGATGTAAGCAGATCATTTCTGGTGTTGAGTATTGCCACAGAAACATGGTAGTACATCGAGATCTCAAGCCAGAAAACCTGCTTCTGGATTCAAAATGCAATGTTAAAATTGCAGACTTTGGCTTGAGTAATATCATGCGTGATGGCCATTTTCTGAAGACTAGTTGTGGGAGTCCAAATTATGCCGCTCCTGAGGTACAAACTCTGATGTCATGCTGAAGGGCCTTCCATCTCTATGCGATAAAATGTTCATTCAAATTGCCATTTTCTTCCATATGCAGGTTATTTCTGGTAAACTGTATGCTGGGCCAGAGGTTGATGTTTGGAGTTGTGGTGTTATCCTTTATGCTCTTCTCTGTGGTACTCTTCCTTTTGATGATGAAAACATACCAAATCTCTTTAAGAAAATAAAGGCAAGATGTCAACTTACATATCGTGTATTTAGTTGGCTCCTGACAATGGAATGTATTACAAGTGTCTCACTTGGTGCACGGTTTTGTTTTGTTAGGGTGGAATATATACTCTTCCTAGTCATCTTTCTTCTTCAGCAAGGAATCTGATTCCAAGGATGCTTGTTGTTGATCCAATGAAGAGAATGACTATTCGTGAGATTCGTGAACATCCATGGTTCCAAGCTCGTCTTCCTCGTTATCTGGCTGTGCCTCCCCCTGATACAATGCAACAAGCTAAGAAGGTTTGTTTCCTGCTGCACCTTGGTTTGGCTATATTTCATGAATGGCTGATCCGGTCCACTAAGTAATTTTAGTTTTGCTGAATTGCAATTTTTCTGATGCTTTAGGTTATATTATCCACACTGCTTAATGAAAATTCTGGTTATTCACATATTTCTATAAATTTTTCCTGAACATTTTCTGACGTTATATTTTACAAAGGGTAAATTGCATAGTTTTGATTCATAGAATCCCTGCATAATTCCATGGTATATTCCATTAACTCATTTAGGTTACATGCTAAGGAGATATCCTTACACAAATGTTGCTAGCATCCACAATCTGACACATACTTGTTGACCTACGGATCAAACCCAAAAGAGAGAAGAAGCTAAAAATCCATCATACATACCTTGAATCTGTCGGATCCTTTAATCATGCCGAGATCGCGTCGATTCGGCGCCGTTCGCATCACTTCTCTGCAAACCCGGCGCAAATCCTGCTCAAAACCAGCGATCTCGCCTCGACCGTGCTCCATCTTCCTTCCCAAGTCTCCGATCTAAGCCTCACATCCCGCACCCATCCCGACCGACTCCTCCTGTTCTCACCCTAATCGCAAGCCAGAGAGAGAGAGAGAGAGAGAGAGAGAGAGAGAGAGAGAGAGAGAGAGAGAGA